TTAAGTCAGTAATAAAGAGCACTTGGGTAAGATTAATGGTTTTTCACCACAAAATTCCCCTTATGAATGCTTAATCTAAATTTTATGCAGTTTCAGAGTGCCAAGTCTGCAGCTTAGAACCAAAATCAAAAAGGAATAAATTAGCTCCTTAATATCTCATCAAGATTACTGCCAAATTACCCTCACAATTAATGTTAAATCATATTTACCATGCTTCTTGCATTTTTTATATATGCACAACATTGTTTTGCCCTCCCCTTTTCTCCAGGATGGGGAAAATGGGGAGGGGGTGCAGCTCTGTGGTAGAACATCTGCTTTGCATTCAAATGATCGTGGTTCAAACCCCAGCATCTGACTCTGTATAAGACAGCTTTCTTACTCAGTATAAGCTTATGAGGTAAACGAGCAGGCAGCTTACAGTGATTTGGTAATTTTCTAGTTACAAATATGAAGAATGAGCAGGTTTTGGGGTAAGGGGGAGCACAGGAATAAGCAGGGAATTGTAGAGCCCGCAAAACAGTATCACCCTATAATATCTGGGAACCACATGTGGAACTACTTTTAATAAATAAAAATATGCATTGCCTTCCCCATGCCTCTTAGCTACTCTGTCAGTTAAGGCAAAACTGGCTTTTGACAGATAGGTAGCAAAATCTAATAGTAGTGATTATTTCCTCCAGCAATAACAAGCACCCTGAGCTTAAAGATGGGTATTGTATGTCAAACTACAGCAGCATTCATTTCAAATTATTTCACTCATCAAATGTGCATGCACCCCAGGAAAATCTGCATTACATTTAAATAAATGTGTTCTGGTTTGGATGGGATGATGCCCTCAACATTTAGGAGCTCAGTACACTGAATCTTCAGCAGAATTTGCCACGAAATGCCAATACTCTTTCCAGAATCCACAGGGGTTAGAAACTTGCGGAAGGAACTGTCGTCTGTATGAAATCCACCCGTGTATGGATGAATACCCAGAAGGCGCCAAGGTTTTGGCATAGCCCAAGAGACCTGGTGAACACAGTGCCCAAGTCAAAAGCCCATTAGCCAATGCTATGTTGTTGAGGGGCTTCTCACTTCTACAGTCCAGGCTGTAGCAGAGCTGAGGTTTGAAGAAAGATCCCCTGAAATATGTGAGAATCAAATACTGTAGATGGGATAAGCACATCTGATATTTCTCAATCCCACCAAAAAATAAAATTAAAATGCCCTTGTCGTATGTGTCATTAGTGGAGTCAAGATCGCTTTTTTAAAAACAAAACAGAACGCCACCATCCTGTAATTCAGTGGTGTTTCCCATCAGCATCACCCCAGCACAAGCATTTCAGTTGTAATACACTTAAAAGGACGTAAATCACAAGTTCCGTGGACACTTCAAAACATTCCCTAAATAGAATGTTGAGTGCATGAATGAATAATGGGTCAGATAAAACTGGCTCGTCTATTACAGTGTACACACTGCAGGAGAGACAGAGAGAACACAGGAGCGTATCTATAATACCACTGTGTACTCATTTTATATACTTACCACATCTGTATTCTGCCTGTCCTCGCAAGAGCTCTTCTGCACCCTGGTTTTCATTTTATCCTCACACCACAACACTCCTGCAAGGTAGGTCATGCTGAAAGACAGTGCCGTTCTGTACTGCAGTACAATGTGCTGCTGCTCATTGTGATGTTATAACCAATCCAACCCCCCCAGGAGAAGAATAAATAAACCTGTAACTCAGGCTAACTCTTCATGCATCTGATGAAGTGGACTTCTATTCCATGAAAACTTAAGCTACGATAATTTAGTTAGTGTTTAAAGAGCTGCCAGACTTGTTTCTGCACAACTGCTGCCACCAGTACAAAGTAAACGCTTATCCTGTATCCTAATAGTCGGTACATGTCCCCCACCTGATGAAAAGAAAGACTTCAACAGACACAGGGTTTTTGGCCACCCCATCCCAGATTTTCATTGAACTGCACAGGCAAGAGCAGCTAGAAAATACACCCAATGAAACATCACCTACTCCTCAGATCTCAGTGGGCACCAACTACCCACACTTGCAGGAATATCAGTGCAACCACAAAGGCTTGAAACTTGAAATGAAGATTGTCTAGAGGTCCAGTTCCGCATCCACTATCAAATCTTGGCTTCACAACATAATTAGTTTGGAGGGAAGCAAACTATTGTTTCCAGTTGGGATGCAACACTAAGGCAAGAACTGTGGTTTGTAGCTCCTGCTAGGGGAGATGTGGTATGGGGCCAAATTCACAGCAAAACCATTACCTGTGTGTGGGAACGCAGCCTATAGGGGCTTGAGGAGCTAAAAATTGGTCTGGTTCAAGGGAACTTCCTACACAGTTACTTTAGTATCCATTGCTGCTTACAGCTTATCACACAGCATTTGCTTTTGGCAACCATGTATCTGTCTGCAGAAGGATGCACACCAAAAAGAAATTGCCACCACGAAAATTGGAAAAGTCTTAGCCAGTTAACAATTGTCACATCATATCGAACCAATGTGGAAAGGAATGAAATGTATCATTTCCCAACATTCTTCTGCAAGCTTGATGTGAATAGCTCAGACACGCATATAAGAAAAGAGATATTGGAGGGATGGGGCAGTGAAGAGGAGAGTGCTGAGACCTTAGGGAAAGGGTTAAAAAGAAAAAGTTGGGAGGGGGAGAAGCATTTCGCACCATTGCTAAAGTTACATACATTCCAAAATACTTTGTTGTCTAACACCACCTGTTTAATAATTAAAAAGGCACATTACCAATCTGGTGACTCTCAAATATTTACCTAACAAATAGTAATGATGATATAATGATAACGATAATTGTAACGATGATAATATTTATACCCTGCCTATCTGGCTGGGTTTCCCCAGCTACTCTGGGTGGCTCCTAGCAGAATAGTAAAAACACGATAAAACATCAGACATTAACAACTTCCCTAAACAGGTCTGCCTTCAGGTGTCTTCTAAAAGTCAGATAGTTGTTTATTTCCTTGACATTTGAAGGGAGGGTGTTCCACAGGGAGGGCGCTACTACCGAGAAGACCCTCTGCCTGGTTCCCTGTAACTTCACTCCTTGCAGTGAGGGAACTGCCAGAAGACTCTCAGAGGAAGACCTCAGTGTCTGGGCTGAGTGATGGGGGTAGAGACGCTCCTTCAGGTATACTGGGCCGAGGCCATTTGAGCTTTAAAGGTCAGCACCAACACCTTGAATTGTGCTCGGAAATGCACCAGGAGCCGAGGAAGATCCTTTAGGATTGGTGTTATATGGTCCCAGGGGCCTCTCCCGGTCACCAGTCTAGCTGCTGCTTTCTGGATTAGTTGTAGTTTCCGAGTCACCCAAATACTTTGGCTTATATCCAAAGCTGCAGTTCCACTCATGCAACAGTCTTCCTTTCCACTTGCCCAATGAAACTTCCCCTTCTTCAGTTGGTGAGAGTGTTGTGCTGATGATGCCAAGGTTGCAGGTCTGATCCCCATAAGGATCAGCTGCATATTCCTGCATTGCAGGTGGTTGGACTAGATGATCCACAGGGTCCCACCCAATTCTACAATTTATGATTCTATTCTATGATGCCTCTGCAGCCCCAAAATCAGCTCCAGGGGGTCAGAGGACCGTCCAGAGCACACTTTGGGGATGTGTGGGGCAAGGAGAAGAGGGTAAAATGTTGCACAAGCGGAGTTCTGCTCTTGCAGTGTTGGATACAACCCACTGGCTTGCATGCATCTACCAGGATTTGAGGTCTCTGCTTTACAGTGGTAGCTGGCAAGTGGTAGCCAAAGATCAGAATGCCTTCCAGAGTGGCATTCCATGGGCACACAAGAGTTTGCCTGCAAAAGGGAAAAGGAAGCAACACTCAATATGCATCCCTCTGTGTGTGTGTGTGTGTGTGTGTGTGTGCGCGCGCGCGCACGCGCACACACACAAACACAGTCCTAGTTACTCCCACCTTACTAGCACACTGAATCTCATTACTTTCCTTGCATGAACTACTTGTTACTATTTTTCCCAAATTGCAAAAACTTGGGAGCACAAAGCTTAAAAGTTAATTGCATTCAAACCACAAATATATGCTTGCTGATTTGTAGGGAAAGTCGCATTTCATGCATCCTTTGGCAAATACCTACTGCCGCCACCACACTTCACAGTATCACAGTACAGTAGTAGTATTCCACCTTGCTGGCTACTGGATCATAAAACAGCTGTCGTTTAGTTTACAACTGCCACCATAGTTTTCAGCTCTCACATGCTGAAGCACATGGAACGCACAGATACTTCAGAGAGAGCTTCAAATCTGTAAAAATGCAGCCAATTCAGAGAAGAACAGTAAAATAAATGTGTGCTTTGGGAAGAGAGAAACCTCACAGGAAATCTGCCTAGTACCACGTCAGACCAGTGGTTCAGTGTTATCTAAACAATCTTTGCCAGCCTAATCTGGAGATGCTCAGGACTGAACCTTTGTCCTCTAGCATTCCCACAAAGCTATGATCCTCTGCCTTGCCGTAATTCCCCAAGGAGCTTGCCTTGCACACATATACACAGAGCCACCATGGAAACATATTCTAAAATGCCGAATGAGAGGATGTTAGCACTGAAGCACAATCCTCCTGTCTTGTATGTGATATCGCACTCCGAGTTAACACCGCTGCGTGTGATTTTGTACCCCTTTGCTGTTAGATGTACCTTCTGTCCAAGGGTGCCAGGAAACAGTTTTAATTAATAAGCTGACAACTTCCGGAGGAATACGTTAAAGTAACTGGCCTCTCAGCTGCTTCCAAAGGATTGAGCCAAGACAAATAATCTAAAACTGTGGTTCCCAAAGTGGGCACTGACCACCCTGGAGGGTGAGAGCTAAGGGTGAAAATGGCTATCGAACTTTCAAAAACGGGCATCACTGGTTCAAGTTCCAGGTAGGTAGCCGGGTTGGTCTAACGCAGACGAAATAAATTTTAAAATTGTCCAGTAGCACCGTAGAGACCAACTGAGTTTGTTCTGGGTATAAGCTTTCGTATGCATGCACACTTCTTCAGATACACGTGTATCTGAAGAAGTGTGCATGCATACGAAAGCTTATACCCAGAACAAACTCAGTTGGTCTCTACGGTGCTACTGGATAACGGTTCAAGTTCATCAGTTTTAATTGGATTTTAATAAATGTGCAATTAATTGTTACCGCTTTGAATTTTATTGTATTATCTTTTTTTAGTGTGCTGTGCAAACCGCTATTCTGAATAATGATTTTTACAGGGTAGGGCAGGGGGCACGGAGGATGAGTTTTTGGAAGTAAGGGGGCAGTGGCCCAAAAACGATTGGGAACTACTGATCTAAAACACAGGCATCAGTTTCCCTATCTCTCAGGCCTTCCCTCTTGCACTTAAAATCTGTTAAAATATCTGGGCAGCTTTCTTTTTGCTGCTATGTAGACTGTGCTTCTGCTGCACCGTAAAGGAGCAAAAAACTTCATTTTTTTCCTGGGCAGCAGGAAAAAAGGAAGGTCTTCATTTTGATTTCTCCCCCCTCCCCATGAGCCGAAGTTTCTCTAACAAATGCATTCCAATCCTACTTTGCTGGTAAACAATGAAAACCTAAAATTCAACCAAACTTTCTCAAAACCCCACAAGCTATATAAACATCCAAAAGGTAAAATCTAGGATCACAGGCAAGCCTTGGTTGGAAATTAGTTTAGTTAAGTTTGGATATGCCAAGCAAACTTACAGTGAATGTTTGAAACATCACCAAGCCCAAAGGCAACATCAATAAGCCCAAACATCACCAAGCCCAAATTTAACAACAACAACAACAAAAAGGTGGGGAGGACAAAAGCATTTCCAGATCCATATACCGTATTTTTTGCTCTATAAGACTCACTTTTTCCCTCCTAAAAAGTAAGGGGAAATGTGTGTGCGTCTTATGGAGCAAATGCAGGCTGCACAGCTATCCCAGAAGCCAGAACAGCAAGAGGGATTGCTGCTTTCACTGCGCAGCGATCCCTCTTGCTGTTCTGGCTTCTGAGATTCAGGAAAAAAAAAATCTTGTTTTCCTCCTCCAAAAACTAGGTGCATCTTGTGGTCTGGTGCGTCTTATATAGCGAAAAATACGGTACTTTAGTCAAGTTTGGATATGCCAAGCAAACTGACAGTGAATGTTTGAAACACCACCAAGCCCAAATGCAATTTAACAACAACAACAACAAAAAGGTGGGGAGGACAAAAGGGTTTCCAGCTCCATATAATTCCTGTCCTATTTACCCACAAAGTACCATACATATTACTTTAAAAAGAAAAAGGCATTGGAACATAAACCGCACAACTAAAAAAAAAAAAAGCTACTCAGTTCCGAAAGCAATGTTAAACCTAGTTTCCCCAAAGAGCAAAATGCACACCAGACCTCCACAAAATATGGCCTTCCAACACGACGAGCCTAGGCTTCCAAACTTTTTTCCAAAAGGTAAAAATAACATGCACTTTTTAAAAAGGAAGCTGCTCCGTAACTACCATTGTACTGCCATCCTTCAAGTTGCACAAACGCACCGTGCACACTTAAAACCTGTACATCACAAAGCTTTGTAAGTGACCCTGAAGTATAGAAATTGAGCTGTGTAAGTAATCTTTTAACACCCAAATGCCCAGCATCGTAACGATTGTGGGATTTAACATGCTCTATGTTGTCAGTCAGTGCTCAATTTACATGTTTAACAGGGAGGAAGGAAAGAAAGAAAGAAAGAAAGAAAGAAAGAAAGAAAGAAAGAAAGCTTGTAGCTACGACAACTATGCCTAGGGGGTAAAACCCTCAACTTTGCATGGTAACGAAAACCTTTAATAAAAATACATTAAAAAAAAACTTTGCGTGGTAACAGGATTTAGCTTCACACAGTTAACAAAACTGAAGCACATTAGAAGAAGGGCATGTCCCCCCTCTAAGAGAAATAACCTGGGCTAGCAGCTTTTATTTTTTGAAAGAAAACAGGTGCGAGTGAGGCACGCTGCCTGTGTGCGTGTGTGGGTGTGTTTGTTGTAAAACAAGAATTACACAGCTTCTTTGAACGAAAACATTCAGTCAGAGTATTTCTGGCATGCTCTGAAGCCCATCTGCCTCACTGGAGAGGCTACCACCTGAGCACCAGCTCCTGGAGAACTTAACTGGAAAAATACACCCCAAATAAATACACACTGATATATATATAGAGAGAGAGAGAGCATACAAGATGGCTTCCTGACAAAAGAAGTCAGCGCAAGAGGCCTCAAACAATAAGCAACAGAATTAGTGAACAGAACACAAGATCTGTTTATAAAGAGGAAGTTGGAATGCATTTCCGCAAAAGGGTTCACTTTGGAGAAGCCTGTGGAACTATAATAATAAGAGCAGCTTCTTACCTGTTTCTTCTTCACCCCTTAGGATCTAAAGTCAAAGCCTGCTGAAGTTACTTTACAAAAAAACAAAAATGGTGTGTTCCCCTTGTTTCCTTTCTGACTCCTTAAGGAGATTTCGAGCATGCCTAGAGCTGCCTTGAAACCCGGTTTCTCAAAAGAGGGGGGGAGTTTTAGTGATGCACAGCAAGCAAAAAGGGTGTGTGCACTTGTCTATGCGCATGCAGCAGACTTCCCCGCAAACCCAGAAACACACATGCCACCACAAAGTACTGATCAAAAGACACGGGGTGATTAATGTTAAAAGAATAGTCTTCTGGGACTCCATCGCGTCTTACTGGTATTCCACACTTGTCCATTCCTGCCCCATTTTCAGAATTCTTGAAGAGTAGCAGTGATTTGATATAGTTCCACTGGAATTTCAAGTTGAACAAGGAAGAGTTGTCTGGGGAGGCGGTGCTTCTCTCACACATAAAAAGGAAAGTGCAATGATTCATGTAGAGCCATGCACTTAGATGGGGAAGAGTGGACTTTTCCCCTTCAAAACGGTCTCCGTTCGAATTGCTTAAACTGAAGTTTTCATTTTGTTCTAAGCTTTTAATACTCAGTCACTCCCTAGCAACAAACTTCTCTGGAAGGTTTGAGGAATGAATATTATATAAAACCAATAGTCATTTGTATCATTTTCCTCTTTCACCTCATGGCAAATAACTCAGACACACAAGAGACGGAGAGACACTTGGTTTTATTTGCATATTTCATTTCATTCATGCTATTTCCCTTAATTTACGAATCGTTTCCTGTGAAAGATCTCCAAGAGATTTAACGATAAAACATCAGCAACAGACAATTTCCTATATTCATTTATACTCTCTCTCTCTGTGTGTGTGTCCAATAAAGATGCAGAGAGCGAATGCACATTGCATGATAATGTGCATTCAGTTTTGAATGCTGGCACCTTTTTTGGGGGTGCTGCACACACAACCTCATCCAAATGTTGTCCCTGCCCAACACTATTTGTCAATCTAAAGATGAAACGGCTATAATCCATTTTTTTATTTTTTTATTGGGTTTTATAAACAAGAATAATGTTACACAAACAAGTATACCAAGTTTCCTCATTCTATTTGTATATCACAAAAATAGCATAATAAACGTGGAAAAATATCTACAACATATGTTTCATTATTAGTGGTCAATGTATAGGTTCTTGGTTCATGAATTGGTTTAGTTTGTACTCCATTATGTGTCGAGACACACTTCTCACGCACTTGCTGTATACCTGTGTACACAGAGAGCACTTTTTCAGATCAGCTCCTACTGGGACTGACCTCTTGGTTTATCAGGGTTGCAACCACAGCCTCTCACTAGGTTTAATTTGTGCATGAATGAAATAGGCAAAACAGGAATCAGCACGGTAACTTGAATGGAAGTACCATATTTTTTCGCGTATAAGACGCCCCCAAGTATAAGACGCCCCCTATTTTGAGGGACTCCAAATTAAGAAAACACCCCTCAGCACCACCGGGTATAAGACGAGCCCCAATTTAAAACCTAATTTTTTGTTTAAAAAAAACCTAGTCTTATACCCGGAAAAATATGGTATATCCTCTGTATCTCAGTATAGCCACACACCACTTCCCAGCCTCTCCCTTTTGAAAGACTGACAGTAGCGCTTTGTTGTTGCTGTTGTTTTAAAAGTCTGTGGAAACACTAGCTGAGGCGAAGGTTTCCACCAGTGTGAAGAAGACATGCCCACATCACGCACAGACAACATGGATAGAATCTGCCATGTTAAGAGGACAAACGGTGTGTACAACCGCAAAACACTATTGTCGAGGGCACGGGGGGGGGGGGCAAACCTTGTGTGTTTCAAAGACTCACTTAAAAGGCAGCAGGAAAAAAGGAAGGTCTTCAATAGGCACTAAAAAAGACCTGAACCTGCCCAATATGCAACAGGAGGGAGTTCATGAGGGCACTAGGTGCCATTCACACTAAAGGCCTGGATTCTACATCACACAGAACGGACAAGCTGTTGCGAGTGTATCTGCAGGAGGCCCTTTCCCACAGAGCACAGTGATCAGCTGGTATACGTGTGTTTACTTTAAAGGTATCCTAGTCCAAAGCTGTATAGGACTATGTACATCCGTACCTGCGCCTTAAGGGATGTTTGGCTGATGCCTTCATGATATACCTTTATGTGCCAGGTGAAAACGTCACTCTTCAACCAGGCCTTTGGCTGATTAACATCAGATACCCTTTTTGATGTGTTGGGGAGGGGTTATTGGTTTATTCTTGCTCTTACTATGTATTTTGTGTTTTTTTAACTTGTATTTTTGTGTTCTGAACCGCCCTGGGATTTACAAATGAAGAGCAATATACAAATTTAATAAATAAGCATCAGCATCATCCAACCTATGTGAGGGATTGCCCTTAAAGTCATTTCAGAAACGCCCACTGTTGCTACCAGTTAACCACCTATTATTCTGACCCCTTACCAGTTTCATTGGCTACCAATTTGTTTCCAGGCTCGCCTTTTCCCGGCTTAGGTAAAGGTAAAGGTACCCCTGCCCGTACGGGCCAGTCTTGCCAGACTCTAGGGTTGTGCACTCATCTCACTCTAGAGGCCGGGGGCCAGCGCTGTCCGCAGACACTTCCGGGTCACGTGGCTAGCGTGACGAAGCTGCTCCGGCGAACCAGCACCAGAGCAGCACACG